AAAGACAATGACCTAACTGCCACCGAATTGACTGTTACTACAAAGGCAGTGACCCATCTACCATCGGATTGACTATCAAACCCAGGGACAATACTGTCATTGAATTGACTATTACTATATCCAGTTGTCATAGGATTGACTGTAACTACAAAAAACGTAACCGGATTGACTATCACTGCAAAGACTATGCCGTCAACTAACACAGAATTGAGTACTACTAGTTTAACCTAACTACCACTTAATTGACTATTTGTTCAGAATAAGTGCGCCAAACAAAAGCGATTCGCCTTTAATTGATTGTCATTACGAAGTTAACATTGTAACAAAATGTAATGAATACCTAAGTAAGAGATGCCATTGAAACGTAATCAAAAGCCAATTTGTTTATCGTCTAGTGTCGAAACGAAATTGACTATTACTACTACTGTAAAGTTGACATTACTCTCATTGAATTGACTATTACTGTAAAAACAGTTATCCAATTGTCGTAGGATTGACTGTAACTACAAAGACAATGACCTAACTGCCACCGAATCTACTGTTACTACAAAGACAATGACCTAACTGTCACCAAATTGACCATTACTACAAAGACAATAACGTTACTGTCATCGAATTGACTATTACGACAAAGGCAAAGACCCATCTACCATCGGATTGGCTATCAAACCCAGGGACATACTGTCATTGAATTGATTATTACTATAAAAACAGTTTATCCAGTTGTCGTAGGATTGACTACAACTACAAAAAACGACATAACCGATTGACCATCACTGCAAAGGCAATGACCTAACTGCCACCAAATTGACCATTACTACAAAGACAATGACCTAACTGCCACCGAATTGACTGTTACTACAAAGGCAATGACCCATCTACCATCTGATTGACTGTTACTACAAAGGCATTGACCCATCTACCATCGGATTGATTATCAAACCGAGTGACTATTACTCTCATTGAATTGGCTATTACTATAAAAACAGATATCCATTTGTCATAGGGTTGACTGTAACTACAAAAAACTTAGCCGGATTGACTATCACTGCAAAGACTGTGCCGTCAACTAACACAGAATTGAGTACTACTAGTTTAATCTAACTACCACTTAATTGTCTATTTGTTCAGAATAAGTGCGCCAAACAAAAGCGATTCGCCTTTAATTGATTGTCATTAAGAAGTTAACATTGTTATAAAATGTAATGAATACCTAAGTAAGAGATGCCATAGAAACGTATTCAAAAGCCAATTTGTTTATCGATTAGTGTCGAAACGAAATTGACTATTACTACTAAGTAAAGTTCATGATCATTCAATGTCCTAACTACAACTGAATTGATTATCATTACAAAGATAATCTAAGACAGTCAACTAACTCTGCATTGACTGTCACTTACTATTACTTCATTGACACCATGTACAAAGACAAAATTGACTTTCAATTCAAAGTAAGCACTAACCAAAAACGTACATAGATAAATGTAATTTTTACAAAACCGTTATTAATGAAATGGCCGAAATGTCTGGTAAGTAAACAGAAACTTTAACAAAACTAAAGCATGATTTTATTCGATTCATTACATTATGAATTTTTTCTATACATAAAAAATCCTAATTCCACCATTGTGAAGACAATAAAAAAATTAAACGAGAAAAAAGACAGTACATCCAATAATGGAATTGACTATCCGTGCAAAGTCAAAACGATCTATAGTGTCCTAATTACCCTAGAATTGAATATTAATTTGAAGTCAGCTATAATGACCTAACAGGTCCATAAATGAATTTATGGGTTAAAGTGAATGTCAGATTAATGTCAGTCGATATAGATAGGGTTATTTTAGTAATGGTCAAGTCATAGGTATTTAGGTTTCCCGGTCATTATCTTTGCTAACTTTGGGATGATTTAAAAAAAAATCTTAAATCATAAATAAATAGTTTTAAGAATATCACCGATTCACAAGCTTTATCAGAATATATTTGTTTAATTTATCCTTGAAAGTGTTTAAAATAGGATTAGTTTAGGTGAAACCTGAATCACCTGTCAGTAAATTCGTAGGAATGGAATGAAAAGTAGTAGATGAAAACTTATTTAAAAAAAAAGAAACTGTTATCTCAGATTCTTTTACTGGCCACGTCTAAACAAACTTGAGTGTGTTTATAACCCACCTTCCAAACGTCTTTTTTGGCATTAGTCCTTACTTCCTGCCGGTTCGCCCTATCGAAACTAAATATACAGCGGGTCTCCTTTGTTTACTTTAAAATAAGCCCGTCTCGGTCGTTTTAAATCGGGGGGAAAAGAAATATGCCCGGCCTGTCGAATAGCAAAGTTTCTAAATCGATTTGATTCCGATACAAAATTGCCTGTTGCGAATGACGAGTGTTCTATATTTAGGCATTGAGTTGTTAGGTCAGCTTTCAATCCATACATACTTTTTACCGTTGTTTATTAATGGAGTTTTATTTCAAGAATTGTTTTGTCTGGAGAACTTCAAGCAGGACGTATAACAATCTAACACTATGTAATAACAGTCTTAAGATCTTTTCCTAGATAAAGCCACGAGGAAAGTCAACATTCAATGATTTTTTTTTTAATAGTGACCGGTTGTTTAACAATTTGTTGAGGTAGTTTAAAAAACACATTTTTTTCATTTTTTTAACGTTTCGGCCTTTATTGGGGTCATCTTCAGGGCATAAAGTGTGGTGCTATTCTTATGGTGTCATATTGGTATTGTGACCACCACCATACACCAATATGGCACCACAAGAATAGCACCACACTTTATATCCTGAAGATGACTCGAATAATGGTCGAAACGTCGGCCAAAAAATGGAAAAGGTTTTTTTTCTAAACTACCTCTTTGTTGACAGCTCCTCACGAATCCAACAAAATATTGAATGAATTGTCAAAACCAAGACTGCCACAAATAACACTAAAATTTGCTATTTTCACAAACACACAATCATTTTAAAAAAATTACTTCATTCTCTATTTCGACAATATGTATTTATGAAATGTTGATGTTTCTTGTCGGCTGGATTGCGGAATTTGTCAAGAACAACTCAGCAGTTAATGTCTTGTCTATTTTTGGCAACGTTTCGGTCTTATTGTAGTTCTTCATCATGCAAAACATTTAGGATGTGGAGATTGGGAAAATGAAATTAAAAAGGTGGTCTGTTATTGTTTGAATTTAAGTGGTTAGACCTAAATCTTTTTAATATTTTTTGCTTCGTCAAAAATAAAAAAAGTCATGAACTGCTGAGTTGTTCATTCTCTGGCTGTCACCCTGACAAATTCTCCAATCATGCATTTTTGAAATGACTCATTCGATATAATTTTATCTCTTGCGAAAAAGAGGACTGCCGTTGAAATTATGAACCCTGTAAAGATACAGACAGTAACAAACAACCAACTCCGAATTGACTTATTACTAACTACTAAGACTCCTATCAATAATCACTTAACTCATCATTACGTACCTGTCATTGAACTTTCAAGTGACTAACTTCAAAAACTTTGTCACCAACTGACAACAAACTATATTTGAATTCATTCCTATTACCTGTAAGACATTCATAACTTTTTCCGTATTGACTACTTCGATAAACTCCCCACCCACAACAAAACTTGAAATGTTGGATTCTCCAACGACACCTGTGAATTGGCTATTGCGACAAAGAGTCTGTAAATTGATAGATGTTGATAGATGCTCCAATGGCACTTGTGAATTGTCTGTTATGGCAAAGATGCCTGTGGATGGTCTATTACGACAAAGACACTTATGAATTGACTATTACGAAAAAAATACCTGCGAACCGATTATAACCCTTGAATTTACTTTTCCGGCAAAGACCTGTGACCTGGCTATTACGACAAATACAACTCTGAATTGGCTATTACGACAAAAAAACCACTTGTAAATTGAATATTACGGCAAAAACACTTTTCATTTATTATTACAACAGAGCCATATGTGAATTGACTATTATGACAAAAACACCCTTGAATTTACTTTTACGCCAAAGACCTGTGAATTGGCTATTACGACAAATACAACTCTGAATTGGCTATTGCGACAAAAAAAAAACCACTTGTAATTTGAATATTATGGCAAAAACACCTTTCATTGATTATTACAACAGAGACATATGTGAATTGACTATTATGACAAAAACACCCTTGAATTAACTTTTACGGGTAAGACACCTGTGAATTGATTATTATGACAAAAGCACCTGTGAATTGATTATTATGAAAAAAAACAACTGACAATTCACCTTTACCACCAACATGACTGTGTATTTGCTACTAAGACAAAGACAACTTGGAATTGACTATTACATCAAAACACTTGTCAATTCACTTTTACAACAAAGACACCTGGGAATCGGCTATTATGACATAGTGATCTGTGAATTGATTATTATGGCAAAAACACCTGTGAATTAACTGTTATTACAAGTCAGTCAATGGCAATAAAATTTAATTAATTTGTATGACCGCAAAAATGCAAATATACTGTCAACCAACAACTATAACTCCAAATTGACTGTTAACCATTGATAACGACTTAACACAATTTACAATTTCGACAGAGACACAACCGAAAACAAGACTTAACAGTTTCTATCATTGCAAAGACACGGTCACTATGAAACAGCAAACACATTCAGACACTACCATTAACAGTGACTCTATTGACTACTACGACAGACTTAACTGAACTGACTATTATAAAAATAAATTTTCACCACCGATGAAATTAAATTTTGCCTGAAGACTCCACCGAAAACAGGTCTTTACCGGCTTTGACTTGACTAATACTTTGAAAGACACTGGCACGAATAGACAACTAACTCAGATTCATGTAGAAGTATAAGACACAACAATATTTTAATTGCCTATCGTGATAAAAATTGAAATATCTTTCTACAAAGGCTGTTTCTACAAAGGTATAATAATTTAATGTTTAACATAATTTAATTGTTGTTTACAGAGAATGCGGCTGTTCGAGAAATGTCTGGAAGACGCGAGCGGACGCCTGGCCGCGTCTGAAACGGCTTGCGCGTCCTGGCAGCCGACCACGGATCCAGCACAAGCGCCCGCACAACTCGACAACCTCCAGGTAAGAAAAAGAGAGAGTCCCATTGTATTTAAAACAGAGCCCATCCCTAATCGGCCGCCTCTCCGACAGAAATTCGGCGAACGCCTCGGACCTTTGACTCGTTCCATCGAAGACATGAACGACCACGTCGCCGCGTTCAGATCCAGCGGTGTCAACGTCTCGCCCGCTCTGCTCGCCCGCGTCGACGACCTCAACGCGAGGTAAGAGGAATTTTTTGAACCGACACAGATCAACGTTGATCTGACCCGATGATTTCATTTTAGGTGGCGAGCGATCCAAATGACGGTAGACGACAGGTTTAAGGCGTTGAGAGGTCTCACATCAGGCGGAGCACCACCGAATCACAGCTTTCTGTCTGCGTCTGTTGATCATCCGTGGGAGAGAGCGACGACACCCAGCAAAGTGCCTTACTACATCAAGTAAGAGCTCAAAATGAACTAAGAACATAAGTACTCTTGAACTGACAATAAACATACCAACCTGCACCAAACAAACATTTAACAAATAATTATTTAGATAAGAATTAAATCAATAATTGATGAATGCAAAGACACTGCAGAACCAAAGATTTAGTTATTCCTTTATTGACTATAACAACGAAGACACTGCATTTTCAAAGATTAACTGCCAAATTGACTATTTTAAAAAAAGGCGCTGCAGGATAATTATCTAATGATTATATTTAATTAATTATTAGTACAAAGGCGCTTAATCACCTAACTGTTTATCTATGGACGCTCCATCAACAAATATTTACATAATCTAATTGATTAAGACCCTGGGCCACCAATGATTTTATTATTCCTGTATTGACTGTAACTACAAAGACACAGCATTTTCAATTATAACTGCCGTCGAATTGACCATTTTTAGAAAAGACCCTGCAGCAACACAATTAACAATTTACTGTCTTTAATTAATTATTAACACAAAGACACTTCATCTCCTAACTACTTAATTTATGGACACATGGACCCTGGATTTCAAAAATTAACTGCCACCGAATTGACTATTAAAAAAAATGCCCTGCAGCAACCCAATTATTGAATTATTAATACAAAGACACTTAATCACCTAACTGTTTATCTATGGACGCTGCATCAACAAATATTTACATAATCTCTAATTGATTAAGACCCTGGGTCATCAATGAATTAATTATTCCTGTATTGACAATTTAAAAAAAGGCCCTGCAGCCACACAATTATCTAATTATTATCTTTAATTAATTATTAATACAAAGACAATTCATCACCTAACTGCTTATCTATGGACGCTGCATCAACAAATATTTACATAATCTAATTGATTAAGACACTAGGTCATCAATGATATAATTATTCCTGAATTGACTATAACAACAAAGACACTGCATATTCAAAGATTAACTGTCACTGAATTGACTATTTTGTAATGAAAGGCCCTGCAACAATACAATTATCTAATTATTATCTTTAATTAATTATGAATACAAAGTCACTTTATCGCATAACTGCTTAATGTATAGACACTGCATCAACAAACATTTACATAATCATTAATTGATTAAGACACTGAGTCACCAATGATTTAATTATTCCTGAATTGAATATTAACTACCAAGACACTACAATAACAAAACTACTAAGAGTCAAGGTTAATCAACCTGCAGGTTAGTCATTTTCGATCATTTTTGGATTATTCTCACTGTTTTGGTTTGCCAGTTGGGCTTTAGTTTTTGTCCATCATCAGTAGTTTATTAGTGTTATAAGCAGGGTGTTCTAGTCAAACCTATGAGTATTTTTAAAGTGGGATGTAGAAGTTAATTAACCCGAAAGTTGGTCTTATCTGAACATTTAGCTTATTTCACTGTTTTGGTCTGACAGAAGAGCTTTTGTCACCATCAATGGATCATCATATATGCCGAAACACCGAAATAATAAACATACCGTGATCGGAAAAGTAGCAAACTACATTTGAATCGTTTATAACAAAAACACTGCAACAATAAATCAATCAAGTACTCTTGTTGTTTTTGTTTGTTTTTTAATGCAAACAAACTTCACAAACAGTTCATTACATATTCTGAAATTGTGAAGTCAAGAGGTTAATTAATCTGAAGGTTGGTATTTTCTTATCATTATTGGACTGGGCGAGTCATCTTTCGCAATCCTCAGCAGTTCATCCAGTTTATAAGCAGGTGTGACAGTCACACCTACTGCTAAAGATGACAAATTGCTGAAATGCCAAAACATGAAGATAGTAAGAGTACTACAAAGGACAGAAATGAAAAAGCTCCTCTTAAATTGGCTGTAAATGCAGGCACTCCACCAACAAATCAATCAAGGTGCAACTATTCATGAATTTTTTTAATACTATGAAAATTCACCTAGATTTTGTTAAGAACTAAATTGTGAGATATCTTCTTCAGGTCTGCAGGTTAGCTAACCTGTTGATTGGTCATTTTTGGACCGCCTTTTCTTGTTGGTTTGGTCTTCTTCTTGAGTTTCAACTTTTTTTACGATCATTAGTGGTTTGTGAGGGTATCAGGTAGGTGTGGCAATCAAAATGCTGAAATGTAAAGACAAATAGGCAAACTGCTTATAAATGAACAAACAAGTTTTGAATTGATTATAACTACAAAAATTCTACACTAATATAAATAGAAACATTTTAATTGATTATTATCGCTTGGGAATTGTATGTTTTGAAGTTTACGGATTTAGTGAGTATATTTGTGTTAATAATTGTATTTGTTGTATTTTAGTCACCAGTTGGAAACAACACACTGGGACCACCCTAAAATGTCTGAGCTTATGAATTCACTCTCGGAATTGAATGAAGTCCGCTTCTCCGCTTATAGGACTGCCTTGAAGCTCAGAACCGTTCAAAAAAGGATGTGCTGTAAGTTAAATAGAATTATTTGTTTTATAATTTGTAATAAGAATGTTGTAGATATATTTTTTGTATTTGAATTGCAGTGGATCTTGTAACTGTTAACCAAGCGATTGATGCATTTGATAGTCACGGTCTTAGGGCACAAAACGATAAAGTTCTAGATGTAACAGACATGATTAGCGTCTTAAATACTATCTATGACCAAATAGCTGCAGAAAATCCATCACGTGTCGACGTACCTTTATGCTTGGACTTGGCTGTCAATTGGCTATTAAATGTTTACGACAGGTAAAGCTCTAAAAGCCTATGTTTTAAACTACTTAAATAACTAATATTTTTTTGTCTTTCAGTCAACGAACAGGTCAAGTTAGAGTACTTTCTTTTAAAGTTGGAATTGTATTATTATGTAAGGGGCATTTAGAACAAAAATATAGGTGTAAGTATGTTTTATTATAGACAGAAAAATATAAATTATTAAATAAACTTTTTTTAACAGATTTATTTAGACTTATGGCAGATCCGAGTAGGTTAGTTGATCAGAGGAAATTAGGACTTCTTCTTCATGACTGCATACAGATACCGCGACAGCTGGGCGAAGTCGCTTCCTTCGGTGGGTCCAACATTGAGCCTTCGGTCAGGAGTTGTTTTGAACAGGCTGGTAACAACACCACGACCATCGAAGCGGTTCAGTTCCTCAGTTGGCTCGAACGGGAACCACAAAGCATGGTCTGGCTTCCTGTTTTGCATAGAGTAGCAGCTAGTGAACAGGCCAAACATCAAGCCAAGTGCAACATTTGCAAGCAGTATCCGATAATTGGTTTTAGGTGCATTTCAAAATCTTTATAATTGTAACTTGGATTATTTAAAAAAAATTACTTTTGCCAAATGACCTCGGATAATCTAATCACTTTCTTTGCAAGATCATAAATTTTTATAAATTTTAGTTTTTGTCTTTTAGGTATCGCTGCTTGAAATGTTTCAATTTTGATATGTGTCAAAGTTGCTTCTTTTCCGGCCGCAAAGCGAAGAGTCATAAATTGACCCACCCAATGCAGGAGTATTGTACAGCTGTAAGTTTTTTTAAATTTCTTCAATGAAAGATTTGTGACTCCTTGTTTGACTTTTGAACATTGAACATTGACTCTTTGTTTTTAATTTTTGGTAAAGACAACATCAGGAGAAGACGTACGAGATTTCACAAGAGCTCTTAGGAACAAGTTCAAATCGAAAAGGTACTGGGCTAAACACCCAAGAGTCGGATATTTGCCGGTTCAGACCGTACTGGAAGGGGATCCTCTCGCTGCGCCGCCTACGCCGCCTCATCCCGGCCCAGCGAACAATGCACAGCACGATGTTCATTCAACTTTGGAAATGTACGCCTCGAGGCTTGCCGAGGTTGAATTGCGTACAAGGACCAATTCCACACCTGACTCGTAAGTCCCTAACTAAACCTTTTTACTATCCATTTTTGAGCTTATTGATTCATACTGATTTTTAAAGTGAGTCTTACAGGGAAGATGAACACCAGTTAATAGCGCAATATTGTCATTCTTTGAATGGTGGTGAGCCTGGTAGCATACCGCGAAGCCCTGTGCAAGTCATGGCTGCCATCGACGCCGATCAAAGACACGAATTAGAAGCTATGATAAGGTAAAAAATAAAATAATAACATTGTATTTTTAATAACTTAATTATTTATTCAGGGAGTTAGAAGAGGAAAACGCAGGCCTTCAGGCAGAATGGGAGCGACTAAGAGGCAAATCAGGTGGACTAGGCAACGGAAGTACAGCCAACGACATGATAGGAGAAGAGGTTGACATGGTAGCAGAGGCGAAACTTCTCAGGCAGCATAAAGGAAGGCTCGAAGCACGAATGCAAATTCTCGAAGATCACAATCGCCAGTTAGAAGCCCAATTGCAACGGCTGAGACATCTATTACACGAGGTCTGCTCTTATTTTTTTTTTCTCTTTTTGTAAAACTAAAATTTAACGATTGTGAATATTTTCAGCCTGGAGGTAAATCAGGGACAGGAACCCTTCAAACTCGCTCGGTCACGGCGTCCCAATTAGCACAAGATTCTCCAGCGAAACAAATCGAACAAGCTGGTACGTTTTTAAATTTTAAGTATACCAATAACACAAATATTTTTAAAAAGTGTAAAATATAACTGTAAAAAGAAATTTATAATTTGTAAATAAAAACATTCGCTTGGCTTCTTTTGGGGCGATTTGGTGTCACTTTTTTGCAAGATTCACGGTGTCATTTGGGAGACTTTCTACTCATTCTTTCCATTGGGAGCTGGTATTAATAAATAGTTCATTTTTATCTGGGGTGTTTGGTCTAGGAGTACGCTGGGAGAGGCCGCCTCCTCCAGCGATGTCTGTCTCCCACAACTTATCAAGTCTTCATCATATAGCAGGTACCACGCTTTTCGCTTTTTCACATTAACACTTCTGCCATATTTTTCTTTTCTTTAACCTTGTTTTGTTTGATAATGTAAATTCGCTTTCTTTTTCCTTTTTAACAAAGGCTTTTTGGTGATGCTTTTTGTGTTATACTATAGTTTTAATGTTTTTTTATTGTCAAATACATACACTTTTTATTGTTTGTTTTTTAATTTAATTTGTACTCTTATTTTTCAATGCAGCCTCAGGACGCATGTAGGTAACACTGCTTATTATACATTTTGCTTAGTTTTTAAATTTTACTCCCAATAAAATATATTTTAAAAAAATATGTGTATCTTGATTATTTTAAATATGTTATTATTAAGTGTGGATTTATAAAATTTGAGATGTAAGTGTTTAACAATACTGTATTTTGAAAATGTAGAGGTATGTTTATTGGACACCTGTTTTTACGTTTGTATTTTTTCTGAACTTTAAAGGTCCCTGCTGAGGCTTATTGCTTAGCAGTCTTGCAACAAGTGGATCATTGCCTTTTTCTAAAATTTAAACATCTACTTTCCATTCACTTAAAAAAAAAAAAAAAAAAAAAAAAAAAAAAAAATCTTTTAGGAGACTTTCCGGTTTCCAGTCCTGCTCAGTCATGAACCTGTATTTTGATCATTTTCAGTCATTTCACTCTGACAGAGGTGGTTTTCCTCACCTTATTGAAAGGTTTTCTCTGGGTTATAAGTAGGGTGAGGCACTGAAGAAGGCAAACTACTTCAGACAGACCAAGACACCAAGAATAGGCACATCAGAATGAAGGAATTAATAATACTTTTCAATTCATTGTTTTAATTTTTTTTATTCTACAATATAAACTAATATTTATACAAGATACAATAAAGATAAATTTTGCTGTTTCAGGTGACTTGGGCAAAGCTGTTAGTGAACTTGTGTCTGCAATGACAGAGGAAACAACATAAACAATAATTATAATTTTAAAAAACATATCTCCTAACCCTTATCATCAATGTAAATATACATATCACAATGTCGACATAAATAATTTAAAAATTAACGGTTTCTCTGTAACAGCTCATATCATTAAAAAATTATATATATCTTCCCCCTTTCATATCATTTGTTACACATTCCAGGTTGTAGTAATTGTAATGGAAATATGACAAAAAAGAAAAACCTTTCGCCTAAACGAAACAGCATTCTTCCCTTTAATCATATCATGTAAAAACTATTGATATTATAAGTAGATTAAAATTATACATATATAAATAATGTATCCGTTTTCAAGATTGTTTTTGAAGTTTTAGTTACTGTACCGATTCGAATTTGGAATCAAATTTTTGTGTTATGTTATGTTAAAAAAAATTATATATGTATTTGTAACATTTTAGTTTATTTGTCATATCACCTTGTGAATATTTAAAAAAAATACTAAAGGTTATATCCTTGGGGAAGCTTAATACTTAAAAAAAGGAACTAAAAAAAGAAAAAAAATGTGATTGTCATTGTACCTACAAAGAAGTCACAGTCTATTTAGGCAATCTACAAAGGCGGCTAAGAAAACACATAGAATCTACTATTTACAATTAAGTATAGACAGTCAAGAAAATGTACAAACCAATTTTACAAATTTGGCTTTGATTTAAAAGAAAAGAAAATTAAGATTATGGGTCGAAGATCTGAACCGTTTTACTTTGCTTTCCTCCTTTTGGGTGAAATTAACCTCAAGAGTGAGACGACCGGTGCTTCGTACAGGACCGATACAACAAAAGCAATCAGGTATGACATTAGAAAATGTCCAGAAAATGTAATGACCTGGAATCAAAACAAAAAATCATTTATCTGGTATATAAGATTTTTTTTTAAATTGAAGTAAAAACATACCACCATTTCAGGGCTTAAGTGTAGTGGTGTTTCCAATCTCATGGTAAATGTCCTTATAACAATAGGATGTACAAGATAGGCACAGTAAGTAACTCGACTGAACGGGTATAATATACTTGACGATAATAATTTATTCACGTAACCTGAAAAATTAATTATTTGTTTATTCATTTAAAAAGACAAACAAAAGTGATGTGTTCAACTGCTTTATGAGTTTGAGAAATTTTTTAATTGATTTTACCTCCATAACCAGTAGAACATGCGATGACGATCCAAGCTAGAGCCAACGCCCATGCAGAGTGTGACAATGATGAGTACGCCGCGGCTGACAGCAGGGTCAGTTTGCTTCCAAACAGGCCGTAAACCAGGAAAAGTAGAAGGCCCGATGAAGCGACCCATCCGATCAAAACTGTCAACTTTGTCATCTTAAGTTTGCAATCTGTCTTGAAGAGGATCCACCCAACTGCCATTCCGATCAAATACGGTCCAAGCCTTGTCCACGGTTTGTCATAAATTTTGTCAAACAGAGCAAAGGGATCGTCTTGACTAGAGGATACGTTTTTATTAATATTTATTTGATTCGGTGTAAAATTACCTTTACTTACTTTGGCACGTGATTGTTAAAATAAGCGATAATAGCAGTTGTAAACCAGGAACTGGCTAATAAGGTCACCATTAAACCAAGTGCTACTCGGAAGTGCCTTTAAAATTAAGAAATGAGAAAATGTTATTTCATAAATAAATTTAAAAAAAAATAATTACTTGACAGCAATAATCAAAAGCAACGCTCCGACAATGTAAAATTGGGTATCATCAGCCAAATACCAACTCCACAGCATACACTATAATTAAATTATGTTAAATCAAACATAGTCTGAATATTCATCATTGAGAATATACACTTTATAAAAATGTATAGGTTTTCTTTACCATTTCTTGAACGGGGAAAAGAGTGTTGATGTAAAGCAGGTTCCTCCACCAGTATTTTGGACAGTTTTCATAGTCATTTGTCGGCGTTTCAAACAATGAATTATGGTGGTACCAGTTCATCGTCACCTGTACGCATCCAAGTATGAAGAAATACGGTGCAGTCAACCTGTTAAAAATGTTTGAAAAAATTACATGCTTTGTTCAATCCTTTTGTATATTTTATTTTTACCTGGCGAATCTATACAGTATCATTCCAAAAAATTGCAGTATGTTTGATTTCAATCCTGTCGCTCTCATTAATTTATTCATGTCGTGTTTAGCCGTTGTTCGAAAATACAGAAAAGACACAAGAAGTCCGCTGAAATTATTAAAATTTAAGTTAATATTTAATATATATTGAAAAATAATATTTTTCAAATTTTAATTACCTAATAAAGAAAAATGTATCGACAGAATATGGCCCATTGTTAATCGTCTGGAATGCTATTTCTTTTTCGACTAACTGCCTGTAGGCCATGTTGTCTAGAAAACAAACTCAATTTTAATTTTTACATAAAATTAAACGCAAAAATTTTATTACCTGAGTATTTAAAAGCATTTATACAAGTGTGACCAAGTATGACCCAGGCCATGCTGATCGACCGAAGACCGTGGATGGTTGGAATGGTATCATCACCAACAGATTTGTCGCAAATGGTTGATATGTTTCTCTTGACAGAAAATGCCAGGATGATCTCTTTCCAAATTCCACCTTAAAAAAAAAAATTATGTTGTTTTTAATAATAAATATTCGTATGTAATTCTATTGTATGGTTCTTACTGAAAGGGCTTGTGATTTCTTCACTGTTAACTGAGTTCCTCTCAGATGATTCAGCTTCACTATCTGTCAAAATAATTTTCTAATTATTCAAATAATGCTCTAAGATAATTACTTTGTTATTTTTATAAATGAATAATAGATCTTTAATAAAGATAAATAAGTTTACATGCAAGGCAAATATATTAAATTGTAAGATATTTTTTAGCCCTGCAAATCGCCCTACCTCACTGGTTGGATTTGTCAGATCAGAGTTATAAGCAGTATAATGCACTGACACAAACCCAGCAGCAACAACAAAGCAAATTGTGGACCATAGAGGAAGTGGGGAAAAAGGAAGAATTCGCTCGCCCGCGGATAAGCCTGTCAGGCTGATATATTGGGTATCTCCTCGCCAAAGAAAGAACCTGGAGATGCCCTTTATGCAGTGCACAAGTAACTTAAAGCACAGATTAACAGAGTGCAAGGAATTAGCGCTGCAAAATATAGGTAATCAGATTGTATATGTGGTCTAAACATAAATGGCTGCATACAGGGAGCCCTTTCATACAAAGGTTTAAGATCCTTAATTTGAGTGAATGTATTTATTAGCGTGAATGTTGTTTGGGAGTATTTGTGTTAGAATATTGAGTACCCACAAAACACCAAAGTAGTCTAGGTTATTTTGTATTATATATATTTTCACCGTGATAACAAGATGACTGTTGCAATATAAAAAACATCCCTGGTCTGCGTGGAATATACCAACAGATTTCTCAGACCAAATAGGTTAGCTTGGGATAGTAAATGCCTATCACTTCTCGCAGTCCACTGGTAATTCAAGCTTTTGTAATTTACAATAAATTACCAGTATGCTTCAAAAATCATCCATTGAGGTAGGGCTTCAGGTGCTGTCAAATGGTCAATTCAGAACCCAAAACATACAGATCCTAGATCCGAACCCATTCACACTCTCGTTCATTCTTAAATATATTCTTTCCTATTTACATTCACTCAATTGGGGTGGTGGAGTATTTGACATCCCACCATCAACCTTTACACCTATTATATAACTAAGTTAATTGAGGGTCGATGGAATACTCAATATTTCGCCATCAACCCTCTTACACTATATTCACTCTCAATGCATGGTAGATACACAAAATTAGCAATACTATGTACAATAAAACAGTCCTATTTCCTCAATATATCGGACCCAGATACTTGCTGTCATGCTCAAGCATTCCTACATGCTATTCTTAATCATGACCTTTCTTCATTAAGGTCATTAAGGATGACCTTTCTTCTATGAATCTATGAGTCAGATCCTCCGAGGATCACCTATCGACAGTGCATGCACATAGTAAATAGATGATTTTTACTGTGTGAATGTATTTATTGGCGTGAATGGGGGGAGAAAATCACCTTGTAGTACTCCCAACTTTATGTTTAGGCTGTACATTTTTTTAGTGTAGCTGTATGTGTGAGGTCTCAGCATTATATTGAGAACTTGATTTGATAATCTTTAAAACATCATGAATGTGTATTTTAATCACATGTGGAAAGGTTATCAATGATTGGGTTAATAAAATAAATAAATAAATAAAACATAATGGGACAAAATGTGAGGAGCCAGCAATAGCACTAACAGCTAGCTGGCCGAAAAGCAAAAATAACAACCAAACAACGAGGATAAATCAGTATGATAGAAAACTTATACATATTTAACTCAAACCCAAGCTTTTTTTATTTCTCTAAAAGAAAATATCAATAAAGCTTGTAAGCTTAAGAAAACTTTAAGATGTACTAACCAAAAAATAAATTTATTAATAAGACAAAGGCGTACTTTCATTATTGTTGGCCCCTGCTGGTATTTTAACTGCACCGGTAATAACGTCTTGCTGGTTTTTTGTAATCTCGTAGGTCAAATTGTCATAGACGTATTTTGATCTTTTCCTCTTCTTCGCTTCGTGCTCTTCGTATAATTCAACCAGTGTACCACAGGCGGCTAGCACAATTATGATACTTGTGATCGAGCTGAAAGTTTAAAACAAAAATACACATTTGTCGAAGCTGTTGGCAGTATTTCTTTGTTAAAATAATCAGGGTCTTTCCTATTGGCTTTGCATTAAAGTCAATTAAAAATTGTCTAGATTGTTGTTAGTAGCGTCTTAATAGTAATAGTCTAATACTCCTCGTTCTTTGTTAGTAGAGGTGTTTTTGTAATAGTCAATTAAGTAATAATGAAGGTTTTCATTGGTGGGATTTTAATCTTAAGTCGTGAATTTGTTACTTGGAGTTGTATTTGTTTTAACGGTCAATTTTTCTTAATTAAGACTATGTTGATGCGATTGTCAAAATATTATCTTTAGAACTTTATTAGGGAGTTTATTAGTTGATTACAATAATCAATTAATACCAAGTTTACATCTTTTTAGTAATAACGAATTAAATGCAATAAATGTGATTTTCAGTGATGGTTTGGGTTTTTCTTGGTAACTATTTGTTTTTGTTTGTTTATGATTTATAGAAATATTTATTGTTAGTAATATTTATTTGTAAATACCGTCAATTTATTCATATTTAGGGCTTTTTTTGCATATATGTTTGTTATTAACATCATTAATTAATTGGTAGTGGTGTTATTGTAGTAACAACATTTTTGTACAAATAGGGAATTTCATAGCTTTCCAATTACAATTGATTACTTTACAAGAAACTACCGTTGACTTCACGTCATAGTGGTCAATGATGGTCTCTTTCATAGTATTGGCGTCCGTTTAAACCAATCACTCCAGACATGTAAATGCACATACAATAATGTGTATGTGCATGTGTATATCATTGTAAATGACATTTTGTATGCAGTTGTAGAGTACATAAATAACTGGAAAACATGTTTTTTCGACGACCTCGTTTTCGAGTTACTTACATCAAAATCCAGAATGTTACGTCTTTAAACGGGTAGTAAATATCATGTGGACTTTTGACGACTGACACATCGACCGTCCTCGCATTGTTGACATCCCCGTCGTTCACCGACAGCTTGACAATGTCGACGACCTCATTCCTCGTACAAGACAGCGGAAGGCACAGTCCGATCAGTTGGCTGTGGGTCTGTAACAAACGCTTAACGTCCATCAGAAAGAAAATTCATTTTGAATTTTAAACTTACATTCGGTGTCAGCGTTGAGTTGAGTTGAACGTGAGCTTTGACGACGAAAAAAGAAACCTGGAAAGGTGGACTGGGGTCCATGTTCTTGCACTGCGTCGCCGACCCCATCCAATATCCGTTACCCCAGAAAAAGCCTCCGTTGTACCTTCCACTGGCATCAGACACTGGAAAAACAAACCAATTATAATGATTGTTTTATCGGTTTTATTAGATAAGATGATTTTATGTAAGCTAAACCCCAATTATGCCGATTAATCTACAAATTCAATGGTGTGTTTATGACACAATGCTTATATCCAGATGAACAAAAAAGAAATCTCTTAAATTTTTAACTGTCTGTTTTGTTCTTCAACTTAAACGTTCAACTAACATAAACAATATTAAAACCTTACAAATCATTGTCAAGTTTTATCGTTTTATAGTCCTGAGCTGTTACTAAATTTAAATCCGTCCTTACTGAAATAGATCGAAATTCTTTTTTTTTCCTTATCTCCTTATATACTTAAAGTGCCGTCCAAACTTTTCAGTATATAATTGTCTATAATAAATATAAATTATAATCATTTACCACATATTTAATCAAAAGTAAAACATGACAAAAATGTTCAAGATTTTCAACAATCAACTTCAACTTCTTTGTCTGAAGCTTTTTTTCAAAGGTATTTCTTCATTAGCCACTTTCAGACTGACAGCGGAAACAAAAGGGCCAATGATCAGAATCTATCAAATTTAGAATATTCACAATTTTCAGACCGAACAAAAAACCATTTTAGATTTATATCAATCCTTTTCGTAAATTTTATCCATTAAACTTTGCTTTTTCACCCTCAAGCATTAATAAAGTAATTTTATGTTAATTGTTCGTATCGAGAAATACTTAAAACTCTTGGTAAATATTTTAACGTCGAATATGCCGCATAGTTGCCGTTCACCGTGCACACTCATCGTTCTGACCTTTTTCTTCAGTTCGATAATATTTTTTCTGCTGTATTGTCTTTAGAACAGCCTTGGCAGTATAATACACTGTATTGCAATAGCGTCAATCACATCTTGGATATGGCCACGGATCCATGACCCAAATTTAATTTGGAATGTTCATCTTCCAAACCTTGATATAGGAGAAAGCCACTGTAGTAGAGATAAAAAAGACTTACAAAAAAAGTAAATAAATATTCAGATATGAACCAATGGATAGATAAGTCTTATAATCTTAATAAATTACTTCCAACTTATTAATTTGAGAGATAGATAGATAGACGTGAATGATAGGGAGGGGAAGAAAATTAAAATAGAGAGGCCAGGGATACAGAGAGGCGCTGAGTGAGTGAGAGAGATGTAGAGAGAAAGAGGTAGACGGTGCAAGTGAGTGAGACATAAAAAGAGAGCGAGAGTCAATGGGGAGAAAGACAGAGAGAGTAAGAGTAAGGAAGAGATAAAGAGAAAGAAAGAGAAAAAGGTAGGAGATTGAAAGAAACATAGAGAGGCCGGGAGAGAGAAAGAGAGAGAGATTATGGGAGATTCAGGGAGAGAAAGAGAGAGAGAGATGGAGAAATGAAGAGGGAGAGAATGTGGGATTGAGAGAGACAGAGAGAGACTCTGAGAGAGAAAGCGGGAGAGAGATGGAGTGGAGGAGAGAGAGTTATTGGAAGAGACAGAGAGAGACTCTTAAAGAGAACGAGTGAGAGAGATGGAGTGGAGGGGAAAGATAGAGATAGAGATAGAGATAGAGATAGATAGATAGATAGATAGATAGAGAGAGAGAGAGAGGGAGTAAGAGAGAATGAATGTGAGGAAGATATAGAGATAGATAGACATACAATAAATAGATTGTTAGAAATAGAAAAAGAAAGTGAATGGGGAAGGGAGGAAGTTTGAAAGAGAGAGGAACAGGATACAGAGAAACGCAGAGAGAGAGAGTGAGTGGGAGATATGTAGAGAGAAAGAGGGAGAGAGAGAAGGCGAGGGAGATAGAAAGAGGCTCTGAAAGAGAAAGAGAGAGAGGTTGAGGGAGAGAGTGATTGTGATAGATTCTGGGAGATAAAGAGAGAGATGGTGAAATGAGGAGGGAGAGTGTGTGATTGAGAGAGACAGAGAGAGACTTTGAAAGGGAAAGAGTGAGAGAGAGAGAGAGAGAGAGAGAGAGAGAGAGAGAGAGAGTGAGAGCGCGTAAAGTTGGAGAGAGAGAATGAATGAATATCGTTTTATAAAATAAAAAATAACAAATTTAGGACGCGAACAACCTCTAATAATTATCGAGTGGAGAGATAGAGAGAGAGGGAGAGAGAGAGAGAGAGAGAAAGAGAGAGAGAGGAAAGAGGAGAGAGAGATGAAGAGAGAGATTGTGTGTGTGATTGAGTGAGTCAGAGAGATACTCTGAAAGAGAAAGAGTGAGAGAAAGAGAGAAGGAGTGAGAAAGGGCCAGGCGGAACAGACAAAGAAGAAAAGAGAGTAGGATTTGATAATTACTTTTTTTAATTAAGCAATACCTTTCTCCAATTAACGCCAGTACCCGGATTGACACTATTTATATACAACGTATGTAGTGTACAACCATTTCTTTTAAAAAAACAGAGAGAGAAAATAAAAAATATTGAGGAATTACAAGATATTACTAAATTGAGGAAGTAGAAGGTAAAATATATCGACAGTTTGCTTAGATGGTTAGCAAAAACGTATAAAGTTTATCTATTTTATTATGCTGTGTGTACAAGAAATTTTATATAGGTCGGGCCTCCTCATTAGTTACCGGACAAGTTAGGTCAGGTGAAGAGGAAAGCAAGGCTGTCCCCATGGCATTGAGAACATTTTTTAGGGGGAAAGCTGCCGAAGAGAAGGGTAATACTTCGAAGATTATACAACGCGAGTTATGACCGTGTCCCCGGACGACGATCATGATGTAAGACAATTCCCCGTCGTCGAGGAACATGCTTAGTCACAGTTCGACTCCGTGCCACCGGCCCAGGCCTACCCACTTGATTGTTGTCGTTTTCCGAAGCCCCCCTTTCGCGTGTTAAATGTCAAAAGAAATTATGAAACTATGCCGGTGAAATTACGAGAAAGAGTCGGGCTGACCGTCCGCATCGTCCCCGACGACTCGGCGGTACATCCAGATCTGTTACGCAAAGATCAAATCTTGGATGCAAGAAGGAGCTTCACATGAGATGAGAGTCACAACTCGTCAAAAAGAAAATTTGAACCGTTCCACTCAAACCGAATTCGACTCGTGAATAATTCATTTTATATCTCTTGAGAAAAAAGGACGTAGAAAGTCTTTCCATCGCTTCCTGTACTGATAAAGGGGTTTCCGACCTAACAAAATAGACGAATCTCGGATTCGTGCACATCTCCACTCACGACTTCAACAATGTTGACGTGTTCCTTTTAAAATAACGAACTTAGAAAACGTACAACCACGTTATAAAGCTTACATCATAATTGACAGCTCACTTTGGTCAATTATGTCCATAAACATTAGGAACACTATTGTAACGAAAAGCAAAAAATTCTCACGTGAAACTGACATTTACAACAAGGAAAACATCAAAAATCCGTAATAAACAATAATATCAATGACAATTAATTAAGGTTTTTAGTTGAGATGAAAAAAAGCTAATGGCACGAGAGGGATTCGAACCCACGGGGTTGAGATGGGGAGTTGATGTCCGAGTGGATCGAGGTCACGATAGCTCAGCGGCGTATCTAGCCGAAGGTCGTGGGTTCGAATCCCTCTCGTGCCATTAGCTTTTTTTCATCTCAACTAAAAACCTTAATTAATTGTCATGTATAAATTGGTCAAGCGGACCACGCAAATAGTGAATTAATAATATCAATAATAACATGAACGTGACAATTTACAAAATTGTATTAAAAAAATTATTGACGGGGTATGATATATTTATTCTTATACAACTTAGCAATATTCAATTTTATTGTTTCTAATGTTTTAACTGTATAAAGCTTAAATTCTATACGTAAACAAATTAAAGAGTAACCAATGAAAAGAAAAATCAAATTACAATTTCCTATTGTATAAAACTAAGTACCTTGTTAATTTACTATTGCTATAAAGCCTACGGTATGAATAAATACTTACTGTTAGATAGCTCACAACTTATCATGACTCCAAAACGAATCTAAAGTAGACTTGGCTAGCACACGATATACCATCACTTCAAAAACAACATTATCAACAAAGATTTAGATAGTCCGCAATTGGCTATTAATACAAAGCCAAACTACAAACAAACACATAGTACGCCATTGACTATTACGACAACGACAACGAATCAAGATAGAATTAACGATTAACATCATTACAAACACACACTACCAACAAAGATTTAGATATCCCGCAATTGACTATTACTACAAAGCCAACAGTACATACAAAGATTTAGATACCCCGCAATTGACTATTACTTACTACAAAGCCAACACTACTAACAAAGATTTAGATAGCCCGCAAATGAGTATTACTACAAAGTGAACACTATAAACAAACACTTGCATAGCCCGCCATTGACTATTACAACAAAGACAACAAATCAAGATAACATTTACGATTACCATCAGTACAAACACAACGCTTCCAACAAAGACTTAGATATCCCGCAATTGACTATTACGACAAAGTCAACACTACCAACAAAGATTTAGAATGCCCGCAATTGACTATACAACAAAGTCAACACTACAAACAAACACTTATACAGCCTGCCATTGACTTTTTTTAAATTTTTTAAGAGGGGTCGCAACAACAGAGGTCATATAAACCCAACAGGGTGCCGGTGTTTTTCCAAAAAGCTCATTTGTAAGTATGTCGGGTTCGAATGCAGGGTCGCTGGATTCGAACCCTGGACCTTTACCTTACAGGGATGAGCACCGTGTCAACGCCTAAACTGTTGCGGCCACCGACGCCCCCTCCATTGACTATTACGACAAAGACAACGAATCAAGATAGCATTAACGATTACCATCAGTACAAACACAACGCTATCAACAAAGACTTAGTTAGCCCGCAGTTGACTATTATTAAAAAGACAAAGAAACCAACGTAAACTTATTAAACAGCAATTGACTATTACTACAAACACAACGGCTACTAAAACGGCTCAACCGCCACGGAATTGACTATTACTAATACAAATGTACAGAAAACAAAGAT